CGCCGCCCGCGCCCTCCTGAGGGTCTGCGCGCTCTCCCCGGGCCCAGCTCAGCCCAGTCTGACCGTGGGACCACACCCTTGGGACCCAGCCTGCGGCGCGACGGTCCTGGGCGCGCCGAGGGAGCGAGGTCACACAGGACGGGAGCGAGGTCTCCAGGCCGCGGCGCGTGCGGGCTCCGGGAAGCGTCCTCTTCGCTGGCTCGGCCCCTCAGAAACACGCAGAGACTCTCCAACACGCCAACTTCCCGGCTCAAGCCCCAAGTCAACGAACGGGGCAACCTGGCAACCCCCTTCTCCTGTGGAGGCCTGGGGCCCCCGTCTGCTCCCGATTCTGGAGGCCTCCCGTTTCCCCCACGGGCAACGAGGCGGCTGTTCATTGCCATGTCGGCGTCCAGTGCGGCAAGATTTCGAGGGCACAAAACAGGCCTGCGGAGCCGGGGCCCGGGCACGACCGGCCCGCAGGAGGCATGACCCCGGCCCCGCACGGCCCTGCTGGGGACTGGCCGGCCGTCAGAGGTCGGGGCACAGCGCCCCTCCTCGTGCTCCACCGAGGGCCCCGCGCGGGGGAGGCCGCACCTCCCGCCCCGCCTCCTTCATGCTCATTTCTTAGAAACTGTCTCTGTGACACTCTGAGCAGCCCTTCCCACCTCCACACCCCGAGACGGCCCTGGAGTAGAGACGGAGGAGCGGGGTGCACAAAAGACTCTCACTTGGAGCGGGAACAATCGCGGCAGCTGAGAAGCCCCCCGGGGCCGAAGGACCCTGGCAGCAAAGACCCGCGGGCACGTCCCCACGGCCAGCCCCAGAGCGGGCGGCCCTGCCGCAGCGGGACCTGCCTGCAGCCCGGGCGGACCTGCAGCGGTTCACCTTCCTGCCACATTTGCATTTTTTAAAGGAACAGCAGTTCCACAAAGGGAGACACACAAAAGAGCAGGGGACTCCCGGGTGCAGTCGAGCTCGGTGCCCCAACTCCGCGCCCGGCCGCCGCGAGGGGGTCCCGGCAGCTGCAGCCATCACCGGCTGCCCACGC